GAAACTCGGTTTTAAATAATAAATTATCAGTCTGAAGTGTATCATCAGGTTTGACATATTGTCACAACCTATACACTTCACGTATTTGCTCTTGCTTTTGTTCTTCAGTTCTTTCTGGTGTTTCTAATATCATTGCTTTCATCTTAGGATGTGTTGCCAGCATTTTAAATATTTCTTGTGATAATTGTCCTTGTAATAATAGCGCATAGACATTTTGTTTAGAGCCAAATATTGTTGCTTTTATCTTCTTCACAAATCTGTCTTTTTGTTTGATTTTTCTTTCTTTCATTACGTTGTTAATGTATAGGAGATGTATCTCATCTCCATACTTATCCATGACTTGTTTGTAATTATTAAAATATTTTCTGCTTCCTGGTACAAAATAGTGTTGCGTGTCAAAGCATAACTTTACACGCTCTATTTTGTGTTCCTTCAGCAGTTAGGTTTGGGCTTTATATTTTACTACTTTAGTTAATAAAGTCTTGTCTATACTTCTCTTAATTTTTAAGAGGTCTTCTATTTGCACTTCATGGCATTTGTTAGCTGCTAAGTTTTCTAGTAAGATTATGACATCAGTATTTTTAGTTTGACTCAGTATAGCTTCCAAATTATCTTTAATCTGTTTTCTTTGTTCATCTTCTGGTACTGGTTTTAAATCTCTATAAGATTTCGATCCTATATACAATACATATACTTTGCTTCCTATTATATATGCGTGCTATATTTCTTCAATAATTCTTTTGATTTTCTAATCAAATAGTCCATCTATCTTTGCATCTGCGATGCTTAAGCCCATAGATGTGTGTATTACTATATATGGTTTTATTTGCAATAGTGATAGCTTAGCTTGTATAAACCTGCTATTTTCTATATTTAGTATTCCTTCCTTAAGGGTTACCCAGTTTTTATCATTTCATTTTTGGCATACAAGTTAGTTTTTTGGTATATCATAAATATTTGTACTATATTATTTCCTGTTCGGGTGATAGCTTCTTAGATTCCCTACCAAGTGCTATCACATGTGACTCCTATTAGATATTTCTGATCTTGGTTAATTTTACATTGTTTCTTAAATAAGTTATATTGTTTCTTATATAAGTCTACTGCATCATAATTGACTTCATATAGGTTATGAATATATATTTTTCCATTTCTGTTAAGTATTTTAATTTTTAAATCTTTAGTGGGTTTTTCATTGGTAACTGTTAGTATTTTAACCATTTTTTTAATATTCTCGGAGAAGTATATTTTCTTTGTTTGTTCTTTGAATATTG